GTGCGTACGTATGTATGTATGTATGCATGCATGCATGCATGCATGTATGTATGTATGTATGTATGTATGTGTGTGTGTGTCAGTCAAGCTCCATTGCTGGGGAGGCTCTGGCCCTCCTTGAAGAGCTTGCGATGGTCATGGAGCTTCTTCTTCTTGTTGGGGCTCGCCTCAAGGAAGCGTGGGGTCACCCAGAAAGAGGAAGTCCTAGGGTTTTTTTCCCTAGGGTTTAGCTCTTCGGAGGCCTTGCCTCCATGCCAAACCCCGGCGGCAACAGGCGAGTCCCCTGGCTGGCCCCTCGGCTCTTGAGCCAAGATGATCGGCAAGCGGACCAACAATCGAGCCACAGGTCTTTGGTGAGGCCCGTCAGTTCTGGCTTGGCTCCCTTTCCTGCCGAAGGTTAAATTGACACACTGACTCTTGACGAACGGCCCCAAAACCCGTTGAAATCTGTGGCCTTATTGGCTACCCGATTTAGTGCAGCACTGTCAACACTGTTCCTCTGGCGTCCGGAACCACAAGCATGGCGGTGCAGTCCATCATGAGTCTATGCGGAAGCTTTGCCTGTCTGAGCTTCAGGCGGTCGCTCAGATCCTCGCTTCCGGCATCCGCTTCGACCTCGCTCTCCGAAGCTTGCGCTGGTGCCTCCGCCTGTGCAGAAGTCAGGCGACGCCGCGCTCTCTGTCAGAAACTCGCTTCGCGCCTCCACTTCACGGGCACAGGGACCGAGGAGCTGGCAGTAGCAATGCACGAATCAAAGACCGGCAGAAACTGTGGACTGGGACGACTGGGACAGGCAGGCCTCAAGTGCTGCTGACACAGCATTCGCGGAGGCCTCCTTCAACTGATTAGCTTCTGACCCGGTATTTGGCCAACAGCCGCACTTTTGTACTTTACGTCCTTTTTGCTTCAATCGTGACTGCCCCACCTGGCCAACGACAGCGTGGCCGTGATGTGCTGGAATCCCCGATGGTTTCTGCGCTTGTTCAAATTCTGTTCCACGTGAATGACGACAACGGCGAAGACGATGGTGTTTCAAATCGAAGCACCACAAGTGTCCCTAGTCCCAAAGGCATTCGGAACACATCTTCACCCTTGACCCGGCAGTGTCGCTGTTGTGCCAAACCATTTCGATGTTTTCCAGCAGGGCTTCGGGAGAAATGGGATGATCCCTCTTCATGTCGAGTGTACTTAGCCACTCGCAAATCTGCGTCTTTGGTGCGAACCGTGCCCGGCACTTGTTTACATCACTGCTGTCGGCTTTCTCCGAGCAAGCTACGCAACCGCAATTGGATCACCCATCCCTGTTCCGACTGCCTTTCCGCTGTTCAACAAGCTGTTGGTATGCGTGGCCGCTATGTCTGCAAGCTCGCTGCCTCGGTCTACGTCATACATTGGGTTTACTGGTTGCCATTGGTTGCCCTGCCTCTGCCATCTGTGCTCCTTCGAGGGACCTTTTCATCGAGTGCTTTCGCAAGTCTTAATGCTGATATTGCTTTGCGCCTGGCTCCATAGTAGCCGTAGCATACACACTTGCGAAGGGCACCCCCCGATCTTGAGAATCACATGCCTCGTCCCGCCGGGGTTGTTCATAGTCTTAAGGTCACGGGGGCGCGTGCTTTCCCTCAAGTTTGTTGAGCCAAAGTGCACCCCGATGGCATTCGACCAAGGCATGTCCAAGCCGTGTCCTCCCCGATGCGTCGAAGCGCCACCTTGGCTAGCGCACCTGATGGTGCAGAAGAGACGGGGAAACTTGTGCAAAAAACAAGCCAAGTCCTTGAGCAACAAAGTTGCAGACTGCGTGCCACCGCAATTTTAATCACCCACGCTTCCCTGCTCTTTGGGTCAGAGAGGCAGAAACATCTCTAACTGGAGGCACGGTTCAAAGAGTCTAAATGCCAGTTTCGAATAAGGATTCTTTGTTGAAGGGCCGTGAAAGTCGTCGAGGTTGTCCAGCTGCACAGGGACACCTTCTCTAGAGAAGCTGCCACTCCTCAGCTTCGTCACCTTCGTTCTCCCCGCCAGGCTCTGTTTTCAGCTCCGTGATGGGGGCGGAGACCTTGAAGTCTGGCCGGGTAGCAAACCACGTCGTTGCCGCCACAAAGCCACACTCCTGTGCTCCCCGGCTCAGGTCGTAGTCTGGCTGGAAGCTACACTCGTAGAGGAAGCCGTTGAAATGCAGCACATAGAGCCGCGGCTCTGTCTTGTGGAAGGCCAGGATGGGGCCTACAATCTTGGACTGCTTGCTGCGGGTGTCAACTGCTGGCTGGCCACCATCCATGTCAGGCAAACGGAACTGCCCAAAGCTCCGCAGATCCGCGAGGTACGTGAGACCTCGCACGGCCTCAGCAGCCTTCGACTGCAAGGTCTGCAGAGCAGAGATCGTGCCGGAGAGACTGGGCCGTGGTCTTAGATCTTGGGGGCCGAGGGCAGGAGACGAGTTCTCTTTGTCCTTCTCCCCCCTGTCAGTGTCTACCTCTGCCGTGGAGCTGTCCAGCTTGAAGATATGCACAGTAGCAGAGGACGACCTCAAGCCCAAGGCACCGCAAGCATGAGACGGATGTTAAGCACTATCCCAATTGGCTGAGGCAAGCCGCGCCATAGCCAGAAAGTTGTCATCCGAGCGGAATGCAAGACTTGAAATCACTGCAGAACGTGTACTTCTGCGCAACCTGCAGCGAAGCGAGATCAGCACAAGAGTTCATCTGAATTGAGGATCGCTTCCGTCATGCACGCTCCTTTCACTGCCAACACCAACTTAGACCCTGCCTGTAGAGTGCTTGACCGTCGGACGTGCGGAAGACCTTTGCGACCTTGGCTGCGCCAGAATCAGATGTCGAATGCCACGATAGTCTCTTGACAACTCTCCTCTTTCCGAGTGACGGTGCCCGATTCTGACGCCGTAGCCAACAGTGAGCCAGACGCATTCAAAGCCAAAGCTGCCAATCCCGACTGGTGCGCCTTCAGAAAGAGGAATGGACAGCACAAAAGCATTGTGGAGTAGCCTAAACCGCGGCCTGGAAGACGTGAGTGGCTCCAGCATCCTGGCCCACTTGGATACGGACAGCACCCTTGTTCCTCAGATCCCACAAGCATGGGACCGGCGACCTCTGCAGGCTTACCCAATCCAAGTTGCTGAGCCGGGCAGCAGAGGAGCCAGGGGTCGCTGGAGACGGCGACCACACAAAGGCCCAGCTTGTTGGAGCCGGTGTCCTCCGAACAGCTTTGCTGGACTACACGACCAAGTGACTATTCAGACTGATCACGGGCCAGCGGCTAGCTACCTGAGCATTTGCCGTTCAACTTGTTTGTACATAGGCATAGCCGCGCGACGCCGCTGGATAGGTGTGCACTGGAACGTTGCATGATACCCCGAAGTTGAAAGAATGCTTGCATGGAATGCTTACTGGGTTGGGATGCACCGTCCAGATGAAGAATGACTTTCAAGTGCTCACCCGAGGTGTAAACGTAGATCACGTATTCACACACCATGACGATGACCTGACATCGTAGGCCGAAGTGTCGCAGATCCACCGGAACCCTACACGTTCCAAGCACTCTGCGGCGGTGCAGAGACGTGCCAAGGAGCAGAGTTGTGAAGACAGACGCCTTTCACCTCGTTGCGGCAACGGAGCTCCGCTACGACCTTCTGCTTGCGCTCATCCCAGATCTGAACCTGGCAGACCCGATCTCGGACCGCCCAGCCGGCCCTTTCCCCCCCATTATATCACTTTTGGATTTAGGGTTTAGGGTTTAGGGTTTAGGGCCCAAGTCCCAAGACCCGCCTTGTTCATGCAGCCCGGAGCCGGCTCGCCCTGCGGCTCGAGGGTTTGGTTGACCATGGCAAAGTTGGCGCTCTTGAAGAGCATGGAGATCAGCATCACCGAGCTGTGTCGAAATCCAGGTGAATGTTCTCGTCTGAGCTTCTCAGAGATCGCAGAGGACTTGGCATTGTCTTCCAGCGCAAAGACCCGGAATCCCGCGGTGGTGCCACAAACGAAGCAGGAGAAGTCCTGATTGAAGGAGTACGTCAACAAGTAGACGTTCTCACGGGAACCTGCATCAGCTTCAAACTGTTTTGTATACGCCAACGCATCCACTCGGGTCAAGAAAGTTTATCAACCATGCGCAGCTCATGCCTGCGAGGCCCACAGCAGCTTTTGCTGCGGCTTCCTCGGCCATAGCCTCGCCAACCGAATGCTGATAAACACGAAAGCCTTCCTTACACACCATCGTGCACCGCCTACTTCACCGATGATGGGCGACCCGTGGAAGCAACCCCTCTTGCCTCTGCGGAAGGCTATGGCACGGACTTTGTACAGACGGACTTCTACCCACTTTCCGTGGCACTCTGCCTCTACCTGAACTGCAAAGCCTTATTGGTCATAGCTCCCCTAACAACCGCTAATTTTTCATTACAGCGGGTTCAACCATGAAGAAATCCTGTGTTGCTCTGGGCAACGAAGTATGTGCGTGTACGAGCAGTCCAAGCCTCCGACTAAGCCTCCCCTCCCCAGTTCTGATCAAGCATTTGAACCAGAACGGATGAAGGCCCTTTGTGTGGCTCGGGGAGCACTGCAAAGCTTCCAAGGCCCGCAGACAACAACTGTGAAACATGAAGTCGTGGGTCTTGAGTCTGCGAAGCCAGCCGAGAACGGCGCGTGTGCGCCAGCGTTGGTGTTCCAAAAGCGGCACCAAGGCCTGGCTCAGGAACCGCTTTCAAAGTACTGCGGAGTCCACTGTTTGTGAATCACTTGCGACGTAAAAAGGATAGTGCAGGCAAACGGTTTCGTGCGTCGCAAACCAGATACTTGATACTTGCCACGACGGTCGAATTCGAAGTTCGCACCCTGGCTGTGGGATGGTGTCTTGTTATGCCATTAGGGATGCTGCCGGGCCTGCACCGTCTGAAAGCAGAAATCAAAGTCCGCCTGCCCAGGCGCAAGTTCAACAGACCACAGTAGGTGCAATGACACGTCATGGTTTCAATGGGACTCCATGCATATCGGCCCTTGCAGAGTTATGGCGGTGCTCGACGCTCGTGTTAAGCTTATGCACAGAATATACAAGCATAAAATCACAAAACTGTAACATAGTACCCTAAAACGCTATGATTCGAGTACTAACGTGTACTACAATATACCATAGCATACTATAACATAATGCCATAATGTGCCATAGAAGTCTTCCCTTTAAAAATACCATAATAAAGAATCACAATGCACTACAGAATACCAGAACATACAAAAGAACAATACCATAACACACAAAACAACAAAACCATTGCTAAAACCTAACACTATATTCTACTACAAGAAAATGCTATCTCTCACTATAGAAGACCGTACATAACAAACAAAAGTGTACAATACAAAATGTCGTTTGAATCCGTACTGACATGGTTTCGACGGAAGGAATCCCGGTAAGGCCGTGCTCAACATTAGGCATCCAAATACCAAAATATACCAGGATATACGAGGAAGAATAAAGTATGATAACATGCTACAACAAAATCTACTATAGTATACCATCGCCCTTTTGGCCTTGCCTCGCTCTGCTGTGCAAGGGATGCTACGGCTGCCCGGCGATCACGCCAGGGCCCTGCGGAGTCAGAGAGCACAGCGTAGCCATGTTGTTGTGTTATGGTTGCAGTATACTATGTGTTCAGAAACTGCCGGCCAAGGACACAAACCCAAGTGTCGGCAAAGAAAAGACCGAAAGGAAAAGCCCGAACGGTAGCCTTAGCAGAAATCTCTACGGAGACCAGTTACAGCAAGCGGTTGCAGGCGCCTCCAGACAGCCCTGATGGCTCAGCTTGAGCTGCGGCCATTTCGAGGAATCACATCCTGGCTGCATCCGTGCATGAACATGATCTGACACTGAGCAAGGCTGGGACACTGGCCTCCGACACCGGCCCCAAGCAGCTCAAGGCTCAAGCTGTCTGGTCGTCACTCACTATACTGACTGTATGCCATCTGTCTCTCTGTCTATGTGGGAAACATGCGGACATATGGGTGTACAGGGTTCTGGGTCGAAAAAGCCAGACGTCTGGAGGCAAGCGTCGCACAGCTTCAGAGGAATCCTGCAAGGTGCTGTCCATGCTTCAGTGACGTTTACGCGACCCAAGAAATCGCTTTTTTTTAGGAACACCTTCACTGGCAGCATCTGTCTTGCAGCGGTTTTGCTGCACCTGCATCCGACACGATTTTCGCTGTCAAATGCTGCACAACTTTGACAACATTTCACTGCGACAGTCGACTCTGCAGCGCTTTTCACTTGACTGTGCAGCACACCGGGCACTGGTGCAGAAAACCACTGTGCAAAACCATGGACCCCTTCTCACCAAACTTCGTCCGGCGACTGCACTGTCCAAGACGAGCAGTCCTGAATGGCATGCCGTTGGGCAAGAAGCCTTTGGGCTGCCCTGCTTCAGGCTTTCGGCCTTTTACTTCAAATGCCCATAACAGAGGCTCTGTAATCTTGGGAAGCATGGCCACAAGGCGACATGGCTTGCAGGCCAACTTGTCGCCTGCACTCACCTTTCGAAAATTGACGAGCGAGAAAACTTGGGAGGCCTTCACGGGCCGAAGATTAGGGGTTTTAGGGCTTAGGGTTTAGGGTTTGTGAACTTGAGGATCCTTTCCACCTGTGGCGACTCAAGCCTCTCCATCCCTCGCGAGACTCACTATACCCTCGTTGCTTGGCTTCCTTCGGCGATGGTGGAAAGAACGCCCTCGATGAAGATGCAAGTTGCAGATCTGCCTGCCTGTACAACACAATGCCACAACGCCCCGACGCAGGAAGGTGGGAAGCCGCTTTCGACTTCCACTTCTCGCCAGGCCACAGCCAATAACCATCGAGTTGGTGGGAAGATCTCCCGAGCTTGGCTCAAGATCGGAACATCCCCTTCCTCTGTTCAGCATCGAACAATTAGGGGAGCCTCTCGGCTTATAGCCGATTACGTGACGAGGGGCTCTTCGGGGGCCCAAACAAGTTGCAACAAAGCTCAAAAACCTCAAAGTTAAACCCCGAAAAAACCCTTGGCATCCAGCTCTGCTCTCAACCACCATGCAGCGACTCCTGGTTTGCAGCGGTTCAGGGTCGTGGGGGGACAAGTCTACATCCATAGCTGAGCCGACGGCAGGCGCCCTCTCTTCGTCGTGCGATTCCGACATCTGCGGTGGGATCGAGCAATGCTGCTTTGAGGCAATGAGGCCTAGGCCTAGACGGACTCCCTGGACACTTCAGCCGTGGACCTTCTTGTCCCCGGACAGGCTCGCACAACCAACGCAAAGAGCCGCTAGCATGTGGCACCTCATGCTGCACCATTCCCGAAACATCAAGACTTTGCCTGCACAACACAGCAAACGAAGGTCAACATGCTTCACCTGGCCCCCGAGTATCCCACAATGCGCCGGCATAGAGCGCAGATCCAAGAGGGAGGAACCTGACAGAATCAATTCGCCTAGGCAAGGTTTGACGAAATCTCAGGTCAAGCTGACTGCTTCACCAAGCGGCCCCCGCAGTGATAGGGCAAGAAGCCTGGATCCAATCAACGCACCTTTGGCAGAGGGTGTACGATCTTTGAAAGAGATCAAGCACAGAACCTCTAATAAATAGCGCGGCAATTCACATCTTCCCCGGGCAATTTCCGGCCCGGAGTTTGGATTGCAGGTCCAGATTGGGCGACAGAAATGATGTTGGGACTTGTGTGATAATCGAACAAGGGGTGCCAATGAAAATATTCAAAGCCAAAAATTTAAGGAATGGGTCCAGAATAAACACTTACTTCAGAGACCACTACTACGGTTGATGATATAAATCCTGCACTACCCACAATAAGGAATGTTCCATAGTTTAGGGTCCTTAAGGTAATGCAAGATTTTCTCATCAACAGTGGTACTACTGTTACTGCTGTTACTACCATTAGGGATCCCAGACCCCCAATAAAATCTACGATTGCCACCCCCAAGCCACGGACCACCCCAAGAGACCCTTCGACAAAACGATCTCAGGGGATGGTATTTTGGCGCAACCCCAACATTATGCCAGTTTGAGAGGCAACATTGTAACATGTCCCATGCAGGGCAAACGCGGAAACTGCGTTGGAGCAGTGGGCAAAATCGGAAGCGCATCTTTAGCCCCCTCTTGGAGCTGCAACGCATCGGCATCCGCACACATCTCAGCGGAACAAAACCCGGCCTAGCTTCCTCAGTCGGGGAACTGCGATCCTATCCCTTTCCCAAGGCGAGCCTACGACATTGGCGGCGGTGTTCAGTGCCGACATGCTCCCTGACCTGGTCTGCCAGTCCGCTCTTTGCTTTCGGGCCGTGAACCGGGGTGTCTCTGAGGGGAGGGCCAGAGCCCTTGCTGCGTTGCGGGCACATGCCGGGTGCACAAGCCTTGGGGGATCAACATGAGATCACAGATCCGGGCCCTAAACGCATGGCTCTGCCAGGCGGCTCGAGAGAACCGGGGCGGCGCAGAACGTTGGAGTGGACAGCGCCTCAAATGAAATCGGCCCAGTACTCGAGAGCCCCGGTCTCTCGCCAAGATTGCAGCTGTGCTGCGAGCACCACATAGACCCACTTGCCATTCGGAGCCCAAGCATAGCCGATGAACTTGAAGGCATGAACCATCATGGCTCCTTTGGCACGGTCAGTGCATTTGTTCATAGCGGGTTCTGGACTTTCCGGGCCTTGCACCACCAAGGACTCGCGGCCCTTTGAGATTCGGAGGACACCGGGCAAGACCAGTACCTGCCACAGATTCCATTCGTCTCATGCCCTACTCCTCAGATTCCAAACGCCTCACGTGTTCGGAACCCAGTGGAATGATGTACTTACGGCACGCACGTGGCTGACGAAAGTTGCGTGGAGGCCTGTGACGTGATGACTGCGGCGCCCACTGCCGACAAAAAGTGACCTCGGTATGGGCCGTCACTTGATCGGCACAGCCTCGCACTGAAGCCGCTGAGGATACTGATGCAAGTACACCCCCAGATCATCAACATGCGTGAACCTGACCCAAACCGAAGAACCCGCACACGCTGTGTTTGCAGATGGCGGGGCCAAGTAGAGAATTCCAGACAACACCCCAAGTCGAAACGTCCCGGAAATCCGCGAAACGTATTCGGACTCGCCACATGAGGTTCACGGTCTTCGGGTTTAGGAACTTCGGAA